AGCCGCAATGAAGTCGACCGGATCGGCATCCATGGTATTGAAGCAAGCGTCAATCTTCAGGCAAATCCAAACGACATCGTCAAGCACTGGCACTTGAAAACTAATAATACGGGCACCACATTGTTACCGGTTTCATTTCCTGTAGTAGGTGTATTAGATTGTGGTGTATACTTCGATGGCTAGGCAGGTGCATGCACGCATACTAAAATCCTCGTTGAGAAGTAGTCACAGGAGAACGAAAGTGGTTCCTAATAGAGAGAAGCTATGCAGGCTACATTAAGAGGAAGATGTAAGGATTACTTATATGGCCGTGTAAACAGGACACGAGAACATGCACCATTCACAATGCACGTGGCTTTGCGCCAAATTTTGGGGAAATTATATTTAGGGTTAGGGTGAGGGTTGGGATTACATTAAGGGTTAGGTTTAAGGTTGGGAGTGAAGTCAGAGTTGAGGTTACAGTCGAGAAGGAGACGTTTGACTTGTGGATTTGGAGTAATCCATAGAGCCAAGCCAAAGGTCCATTAGTTATTTTCATCTGTAGTCATTCATCTAGCGATATTACCAATTAACAGTAAACATAACCCAGGGTACATTCGTACACAACAGCGTGCTGGCTTTCAAACAGACGTCTTTTTGATACTCGCCAATGAGCGTTCACCATAGCTAACGGAACTTACTCGTCTCGCTCTGTTTTGGGACTCATTCTCGATCCCCGCCAGCAGTCGCACAACGGCTAGTAGCCCAAGCAGATAGCATTAGAGTGTTAGACGTCTGTGCAAAGGGTCACGGGTTCCATCCTCGGGTGGTGCACAACTTGGGGCTGGATATGACTGGCTGACGACGGCTAATGAGCCAGAAGTGGCCATTCCAGTCTCATTTGAAGTCAAATTGGCTTTGCCGGCAATGCTACCTGCTCAGACGTCTTTTTCTTATTTGACTGAAGGTTGGGTGAAAAAAACACCAGTACTCGTGTCCTTCTACTGACCCCCGTGCACACAGTAAACATATCGTATTTTGCAGAAGGGGTGCAGAACGTGCACCGTCGTGCTCATTTGCTGGAAATGACGCCTGCTTCGGCTTTTTTCTTCAAGGCCGTATTATTTCCTTAAAAAACACCCCTGATTTTTTATAAATTCTCGAGGCAGTCAGGACTATTCGCGCAGCCTACGAATTTTAAGTTTACTAATGCAAATTTCAACGCATGAAGTCTACTCCGCACCCAGTTAAATATTCTGTGGGCATTACGAGGCCTTTTGGTGAAAAAACAGGTCGGGTTATGTTGATTTGCTCCCATAACATACAACTTTTATGACGCATGAGCAATTTAAAATATGTGGGTGGTGGGGGGCATTTTCAAAACGGAATTTCCGCCCTTCACACAGCAAAAAAGCACGTATATACGTATTCTCTCAGAAAGTGCGCGCAAGGCGTGAATACACGGGCATTTAAAACACAACACCAATAAAGCCGCGATTTTTCAACGTGCTATCTTTAAAAGTAACTCAACAGCGTTCATGGAAAGGCCAGTGTTAAGGATGTCTTGCATAGTCGCTTAAACAGGACACAGGAACTAGAACTTGGCGCCAAATGCCAGGGTGCTCGTTTTGGGATCCCGGTGAGTGTCAGGATTAAGTTTATGGTTAGTTTTAACGTTGGGGGTGTAGGTCGGCGTTGGGATTAGGGTATGATTTATGTAAAGGATTAAAGGGCCCATGTTAACTGTAGGTTTTAGGTTAAAGGAAGCACTAGGGTTGAGATCAAGGACAAATTTTAGAAATAGTGTTAGAGATAGCGATAGTTAGGTAAAAGATACAATAATATTTACCCTTCGCGAAACTTATCGCAACGCCACCTTTTTTATATGACTAGAGCGCTCCTATTCCCGCGTCCTATTCGGGCGGCCATACGAGTCATCCTTACGGAGGAGGCCATCGCAATCTTGTCGGCAGTCCTGAGTATGCCTGACTTACATTATGGACTGACAGCGCTCCCAGCCATGTCCATTAACGCGTGGTGGTAGGTTTTACTGCATCAGGTTCATTAGGATGGATGTTACCTCACAATTAGTCTCACTCTCACCCTCTCGCCCGTGCAGCAGTGGCCAGTCAAGCCGCCCTCTTCCCCACGCGGCAAATTGGGGATAGGACTGGGTATCGTGGTTGCCGAGGCGCCTGCTCCCCTCCAGCACGAAATAAGGGCCTACGCAGACCGAATTCAACGCCTTGAATCGCGCCATAGCTACTAACAACCAACGGCTGTATGCTGTGTTGACTTTGCCCAAGTGTTCGATCCCCTCCATCGTGAATCCCTGTGACGGATAATGACAAGGGATAGTGTACCACAGAAAATAATCCCCATGGTTATGGCATACTACCGCTCCACCACCGCGCGAGTCCTGACCAACAGCAACCTCTCAGAACCCCCCGCTATTCGGTCTGACTTTCGACAAGGCTGTCTCCCGTCACCCATCCTAGGTAACTACGCCATTGACAGGATTCTCAGAAAGACTCTACGCGAAGATGACGGTATTGAGCTTGCACTTGGACACGGGTTGAATGTTCTTGACCATGCCGATGATATCCCTTTACTAGCGTCAAGCTTTGGCAGTCTACAGTCTATGGTGTCACGGGTGAACGAGGTCAGTAAATCGGTCGGTTTATACAGAAACACTGGAAAGACCAAAATGTTCTCATGCTGCATCCCTGCCCAAGAGAAGGCGCCCTTCGAAATTAGTGGCTGTCAATTGGAAGATGTACACAGTTTCAAATACATAAGAAGACGACTTGATCGCTAAGACAATACCTTTATTTGGCTGACGTCTCGAGATCCGTCGCGGATTCGTCAGTAGAGACATAGTCACATAGCAGTAGCAGATACGGGTAATCCGTAGTTTCAAATAGATCGAAACGAGGCTGCTGCCGAATGGATAGAGTAAGGATGATATTGTTTCCCGAATTTACGCAGACTGGCAAGTTTTCTACAGCTTTCGAACGTGGCTATGGACTTCGCGTGAAATTTTTATTACCACAAAGCTCCGCGTTTGCCGTACATCTGTGCGATCTGTTCTTCTATATGGCTGGAAATGCTGGGCTATACGCGTGGAAGAAAAACGGAAACTGGAGGTATTTGGCCGCGAATCCTTGAGGACCATCCTTCAAGAGAAGTACACGGACTTCATCTCCAATAAAAACAGTCCGCAATCGCTGCGACAACATCGCAAGTATATCCCAGGCTATCCAAAAAAGAAACTTTGATGTTTTGGAAGGGTTCTTCTTCGTCAAGCTCCCAAGGTCAGTGTTACTGCCGTCGACCCGAGACCTTTTCTAATTGGAAACGTCGAAGTAGGAGCAGTTCAAAGCCTGACTCAACTCACTCCGTCAGGACAGGGAAGTGGTTCTTGGAGCTCTTTATTAGAAGCGTATTACCGCTGATGACATCATTTTGGAAGGCCAGCCTTGTTCTGGTCGACCACTAAAATTGACCCATGAGGGATTGCCTTCCACTATTGAACATGCAGCGTCAACCAACAGTGTTAAAAGTCAATCACACAACATTTTTGGGACATTTACATTAACTTGACTTTTGGCATTAAAAGCCCAGTCAAGACCCACGTGAGCTGACCGAAGCAAAAAAACAATCGACGCATTTAAATTTGCCACTGATTGTTGCAAAACTCTAATTATTGATTCTGGGAGCGCATTGTGACGTCGGACGCAGAATATTTGCATTAACCTAATATTAAATGAGGGTGAGAGTAGAAGCAACACCAATACCGATTCACATGTAGGGAGACCCTGTGTTGGGTCCTGACCGTTACGGTTAAGGGCTTACTCTACCTAATCTACATATCACAGAGCGTGACACTTTCTGAGTTACTTACCTCTATCAATATTAAGCGTCGTCTTCTTACTGCGCCAATTAACTTATTTAATCTCACGGCTTCGGGGGCAATTTCCTTGATTGCGGCCTCAATCCTTCTTCTAATTTTACTGTTGATACTTCTGGATTTACTGAGGAAATAGGTAAGTGAATTTTGGAAAGCTAGCACTGTCAAATTGTGGTATGTTTAAACATTCAGTCTTATAATTATTTATCATACTCGCAGCATTTGGAGTCGATAAATGTCCACATACGTGCTTTTCGCCGATCTTGTGCCGGTTTTTGACACAGCTGAGGGGGTTTCGACGCGTTAGTGGGCCTTTCGTAGTTCCTTGCATGTTACTTTGGCACACTAAGTCCAAATTCCGTTCTAAAGTGCTTTATTTCCGCCAAAATTAATGTACGAACTTGGAGCAAAAATTTTTCGGGCTTGATCCTACAGTAGCTGTACTAGTCTCGAAATTTCTATCCAAACCTAAAAATTTTGATCCCAAAAGAGTATCTGCAACATCGCGCATTTGTTTCCTCTGAAATTAAAAAAAAACAGACAAAGTTGTTTTAGACAAGTTGTGTTAAAGAAATGTTTGACCCTCAGGCCTGTCAGTGATGACTGTTTACGCTGAGACGTATGACCTACGACGTGAAAGTTTTTCTCGGGGCTGTCAACTTGTTTACCCCGCATCAATGCACTATATCGGAAAGCGTTAGTACAGCAAAACTATCAAGCCTTTTGCACAATGGTGTAGCTTCAAAAATAGCAGGAGGTGTGTTGACTATTGAAAATGTAGTTCTGACTCCTAAGACAAATCAAACATTACTCCTATATACCTGTCTCATTATGTACTCCCAAAATAAATGTTCAATTTCAGTAAAAAAAAGTCTAAAGCACACCTATTATGCCGGTTTTAAACAGATGAATCGTAAGGGCTATTTTGCAGTACAAAATGGCCATGGTCCTTATGAAGTAATACTCGAAATTCTGAGTTTGGACGATTAACGATTAGTCGGAGGTCCAATTAGCACCAAAAATTTCTGGAACTCCAATGTTTCCAACTTTCTTCAAACTTAGGCACTTACGTGCTTACAGTATAACATAAGTACTACCTCCACACTCCTCTTTGACCGGATTTGTCGGATGATTCAGGTAATGTGAGAATGTTCAGCAAAAAAAGACAGCTAGACCAGTGACCAGAAACCTGTCCATTTCCTCACCAGAACTTCTGGGGTGGTCTATCGACGCTGTAGACATCCGGAAATGGCAAACAGACCACAAATCGCACGCCACCACCACCTAGCGGCGGTGGTTTTGGATTCCCAACCTCCTGTAGAATAATTACCACGGCCTATAAGATCGACTACGGGACCGTGACTGCACCTTTGACCCAAAGATGTCCAGTCCGCACAAATGACGCAGCATGATTGCCGTTTCTGAAAAGTGCATTTCACGACCACTCTGGCGGATATATCGCAGGGGGTTCAGTAAGTTAAACCCCAGCAACTGAGGTTTTCAGGTTCAGGATATGAGAAGAAGGGAGACATGAGTGGAAGGAAGAGCCGCAAATTCCTGGAGGTAATGCGTTCAGACGAGGAATGCATCAACAGGCATATCGATTTGGATGCTAACTACAAATCTTTCAAGATCAGATGGACGCAAAAACAGCCACCGCCGAACGCATGAATAAATGCGGGTGTACAGAAGGATGTAGAGGATAGGCGGGAGGAATTTGAAGATCGGGCTGCAAGTCGATCTCCTAGGCGGCCTGGTCAGAAGTGCGGGTCTGGTGGCAGTCATCCCAGTGGCCACAGAGAACGATCATTTTGTGAGTCAGCTTTGAAAGGTGATTGGCCAGCTAATTGGTGCATAGGCCTAGGCGGCCAGTGCATG